ATTATTTATTAAGCACTTACTCTGTACCACGCACTGTGAAAAAAGCTTCTACCATTATCTTGTTCAGTCCTCATCTTACGATTACAAAGTCAGTGTTCTTGTTTTCACGTCTCAGAAGAGGACACTGGAGCTTATGGAGGGAAACCATGCCTAGGACCTCACCAGGAGGAAAGGCAGGAGCTGGGGCGGATGTGAGGTCCTTCCCTTTTGTAACCATGAGGCGCTTAGCTAGGCATAATGCCTGGGCACTGCCCTTACTATTCCTCAATACGGCTGACCCCAAATTGACCATGGCTCAGATTTGTGTTTCCCAGACTCCATGACGGTGAAACAGCAATATGCATTTAGAAGAAACCACATTTGCAATGTTGAATTCTGTTTTCTCCTAATGCCAGGCGGCAGCATCCAGCCCCAGCCCCTCGTCAGCCACGTGATCACAGATATTCTGAAGGTCACTGTGTTGCTCCACTTTGAGATTTATCAGGGCAGGTATATGGGCTGTATCGTCACTCACAGTAGGTTTATTGGGATGTAATCCCATCATCCATCAAAGAGCGTCTGTAATTGCAGTCTAATCTTCTGAACAATTCAATCACCTCAATTCCAAAGCCATCTCAACATATTCCAAGTCTACTTAATGGGAACACATTGATTAAGCTTCCTAATAAGAAACATTTGATAGATCTTAACTTCTGCACTCCTATTTTAGAATTCTAATTCCATTAACTTATTAGCAACAGTGTCGTCTTTCACCTAACTCATGTCTAATAACCCCAAAAGCACTTCTAAAAACACAGGCTGGTATTGAAATTCCCCTAGTGCATATAGCCAAAGCCACTGCCCTTTCACACTGAGTGGGTTATATTTTAAAATAGAACTAAATATTACACTCATATACAGATATGTGTCACAGCCACCACCTTAAAAAAGAATTGGCTGGATTTCATTTAATGTAATTATTTTAATTTTATATAAAATACTTGTGTCAAATATGAAATTACAAAACAAGAAAGGAGAAAAAACAAAGTCGAGATTCTACCACCTGAATATTTTTCAGAACAAATTAAAACAGAAAATTAATTACCTTACTGAGCAGGCTTTTATTTCATACTTAACTGACTTTTTCATTAGACCATCTGGAATACAGAGCTTCTGATCTGAAGCAATTGCACATTAGCTCATAACTCCCAGGCATGTGTTCCATGCATTCTGAGTGCATGGATATTGCAGATCTTTACTGCCTTCACCATCTCTTAGGTATATATACTTGGTACCCAAAAATACAATAAAATATTGATGGAAATTACTTGAACTACAAATACAGCAATTGCTATAAATCTTTTATGAGGAATTTGAGCTCAGCCTCAGATAATCTTTTATCAATGTGACAAGTGAACTACCGGAAGTAATATTATGCATTCAACTTCCCACAGAATTTTCATCCACTCACAGTTTGGTCAATAGTGATTACTTCAAAGGGAAGACATATAAGTCACTAAAGGAACAAGGGGCTCTTATGAGAATGATCTGTGATCTTCCACTTACATCACCAGCCATAAAAATTCTCTTTAGCTCCCACCCCAGGCCAATTTCAAGTCAGCAGAGATAAGCATAGTGTCCAAAGACTTGCTAACTTTTACAATGGCCAACAGACAAGGAAGGAAAGATTTCTAGATCAGTGACGTTATAAACATTCTACATATCCCCTAGAATTGTCAAGATTTCTCTGTGAAACAAACAAAAGCCTTGTTATTTTTCTGACACAAATTTCAACCAGTAGTTGATATAGTATTTGTACTTATTCCTTTTTCTTTCTCTTCCAACTTTTATGTACTGAAACAAAAGGTTCAAATTCTGTTAAATTTGTTATGCCACATCTCACAGTATAAGTTTTCAGATAACAAATATGACGAACACTTATCCCAAGTAACTTCATACCACAGAATTGGGTTGCACAGGAGCATAAACTGATTTTACACAGAACATTTGGAGGTGGGAAAGGACTTGTGTTTGGACTAGTGAACCCTTCCTCATCTGAAATTTTCCCACAACCTCAGAGCTCTAAAGGCCTAATTCCTGGACACTGGTTATTGCCACTCTGAGCAGACATCGAGGGAACAGCTCTTGGTGGATGCAGCACAGCTAAAATATCCCTGGTAGGACTTCTACCACTGTTATGGTTTGTTTCTGGGTGTCCCCGCAAAGCCTCATGCGGTCATGGGGCAGGCTTTTAGAGTTTGACTGATTGTGGGTGTGAGAGCTATACCCACCCTGGGGTGGATAGTTTGCATATGTAAGGGGAGAGGAAGAGGTTGCTTGCCACCATTCCTCCCTTTTGTGCTTGTTGTTTTTGCTGTGTTCTGCCGCCATGAGCTGTAGCCCTCTGCCATGTGCCACTCTGCCTTGTAACCTGCCAATATGGACTGAAAACTCCACAAACTGTAAGCAAAATAAACCTTTCCTTCCTTAATTTTGGGTGTCAAGTACTTTGTCCCAGCCATGAGAGAAAAGTAACCAAGACAACTACCAAGACTTTTAAGCAGTGCTTGTAGAGGGGTAGTAGTTTCTGGGTCTTCTACTAAAGCCTCCTCTGGTCTTGAAAGAATTCTTTTGAAGCTGGGGAGTCTATACCCTTAGTCTATATTTACAGAATTTTACTAGCTCTCCATTATGGCTTATTCCTATATATCCCCTCAAAGCCTCATGTGCCCATAAATGGAGCTTTGGGGAATAGGCTGGATCATGGGTGTGTGATACTGGATTATGGGTATGATAACTGGGTTAGTTCACTGATTGATTTAGCGTAGTTCTGGGTGTAGAAGATGGGAAGGCCCATCCTGGATGTGGGCAGCACTAACCAATAGGCTTGTAGCCTGGATGGAATAAAAAGGGAAAGGGAAGTTAGCTGCTCCATGATTCCTATCTGCACTGCCAGGGCCTGTTTTTCCTCTGCCATATTGCCCTGCCTTGGAACAGCCAACAATGAACCTGTATAAACTATAAGCTACAATAAACTTTTCTTCCTTTAATTTGTGGGTGTCAGGTATTTTGTCCCAGCAATGAGAAAGTAACTAAGACACTCTCTCAGGATAACTAGAAGAAAAGACACATAGAGGGGTCTCTGGGCCACTCTTGCAGGGACATCATGAACCTATAAACCTGTCTCTCAATCAAGGAGTACCACTTAGGATGCTTATTCTATTCAAATGAAGATGTGAATCTGTACCTGAATGTCCACACTTTCAGTAGTGTTTCATAAAAGTCTTTTAGGTTTATTAGATTTGCATGTATTTTTCAGAAATTAACTGTGGTTCAGCTTCTCTACTACGAGGTTTCAGATATTTTCACAACTAACACTTGGATAGATATTATTTTAAATTAAAACAACAGTGATAGAAACTCCCACCTTACTGAAATAACAATAACTAAGTTTATTCCCTAGAACTAGATTCTCCAGCAAATCTGCTTCTGAAGCTTTGGCTTAGAAAATACATTGACCAGTTTAAATGATAATGATAATAATATTCAGGTCGGGGCTGGGGATGTAGCTCAGCGGCAAAAGCGCCTGCCTGGCAAGCGCAAGGTCGTGAGTTCGGTTCCTGGTACCGGAGAAAAACCAAAAAAAAAAAAAATAATAATAATATTCAGGTCATAGAGAACCATACTTAAGCACTTTCTTGAAAGCAGTCTTTCCTATTCAAATTTAGTCAGGGTATTAGGAAAATATAGCTTTTGGGTTCCATGGTCCATTATTCCATTTGTAGAATTATAGAATTCCAGACCAGACATGGTGGTGTGTGCCTGCACTCCTGTCTACTCAGGAGGTCAAGGTAAGAGGATCACATGAGCCCAGGAGTATGAGACCACTTGGCCCAACATAGTGAGATATGACCTCAACAAAACAAAACTCAAATAAACCAACAAGAAGTAAACCAGGATCACATAATTTTAAACAGGGATACATGTCTTTGCAAATTAGAAGGGGACCAAGAGACAGAGAGAGGGGGGAAAAACGGAAAAGAGTCACATGCCAAGTTGCCACAATGAATGTAATCACTAGGTATTGCAAAGATGTATTAATAAAAATAAGCTTTAAAAATTATAAAATTGGAAGGAATCGAGCAATTATCTAGTCCAATATTCTTATTTTACACATAAAAAATTTGAGGTCATTCTTTATATGTGTACCCAGGTGAAATTGAAAGTATAACTCAATGTAATTACATATATATATATATACTTCTAAGGTACCTGAAAATTGATTTCTAAAGTCACAGAAGCTTGAATTGTATGTGCCCTCCACATACACATGCCTGTGAGATAACGGGACACTACTGAAGCCAAACTTGTCTCCAGAACCTCTGACTCAGGCAGAGGGAAAAGAAAGATCCCACATCAATCAGACTCTAAGCATCTTCCAGAAGGGCTTTACCTCAGCTAGCTTCATACCAGCAGGGCACCATCCCACAGCGGGTATTTTCTAATGCATTTCTAAAACGTTGCTTGGCTTCACGTGCTGTGTGGTTGAATGAATGAATGACTGCTCAGAATACCAGCTCAAGGATGAAAACAAGTGAGAATCTGGCAGCGCCTCCTGTTACAGAAGCCTGGAGCTGAGTTTTGAGGTGTTTATCTGCACTTGGATTCCCACTGGTTTGTCACCGCAGAGTTTTTATCTGAGGTCCTCACCAGAATAGGAACCACTTTAGAGTTTCCATTCTGAATGCTCTAAACATGTGCTGGCAGCAACCCAAGAGCAGCACCCCTGTAGGAGAACCTGCCATTAAGTGAAGGCATCTCCAACCTGCACCACCACTTACATGCTCCTCCTCCATTTTCCACTTTAAGCTTCTCTTACCACAAAATCATACAGTCATCTCAATAAGGCAGTCCTGTGTGGGACCCAAACAAGCCCGAAGACTGGCTCAGTCCCCACACATTGCTGGGTTCTCCCCAATTTTCCTAGTTCCAGTGAAGTGGTAGAAACTTAGACATCTCACCGTCCAGATGATCCACATAACAGTACACATCGTAAGTTTCCAGAGGAGAACGGAAGCCATAGGTTCTGACTCCTTCCTTCCCCATCATATCTCCAAAACAGCCTTCTCGGGGAACTCGGATAGGGTACCTGGGAAAACGAAGGGGTTAATAAGTGCCACTTCCTTCTCATTCCCAGATGACGAATTACTGTGTGGAGCTGGAGCTCTCACCTAACAGTCTGATCAGACAGCCAGCCAGCGTCACACTGCTCAAAACCATCTTCATAGGCAGCAAAGAGCTGCTCTGGGGTTGCTATGACAGCTCCGATGTCCACACAAGCCTTCTGAGCAGCCTCAAAGTTCAGCGTGTATCTGCTGGTGGCTGCCCTGTAGTGAAACACAACCCCTGCAAACACAATAGCCAACAATTACAAGTGTGTCAATTTCCCCTGGACTGTGCAAAACTTCTCAGTGGAGCAACATACCAAATCAACTGGTGATACTAATGATATTGTCCTAATCATTGTATTGTACAAAAATCACGTTCATTTGTAGAGCTCCCTAAACACCTTTCCCCTAGGTATCCCACACTGCTCCTTTAGAACATTTTCCAGCTGGGAACTTTCTGGTACCATGTGCACAACCCAAGAGAGACTGAAGTCACTGAATCCCAAGTGTCAGACTGCTGTCTCAATTACAAGCAGTACTTGGGCTCCTTTGGGCATGCTGAGCATCTATATGGAGCAGGTTCTTCAGAAAATACAAAGGGTTAAGAGAGTCACAAAAACAGGACTTCATCATCTTACCCAAGGCCAGCTCAAAAAAAGAGCATAAACTAGTGACCCACCCCATGGAATATTTAGCAAGGTCACTTTCTCCAAACATGAAACGCCGGAGACTTTCAGAGCAGTACACTGGGGTGGAAAAGACACAGACTGTACATTAAAGAAAAGGCTTTTTCCAACACTAATTTGTTCCAAGTCAAGCTCTGAGAGCTTAATTTCCCCACCCTTAAGGTAGAACTAAAAATTACTGGTTATTTGATCGATCTAAAAGTCTAATTAGGTAAAGGATAAAATGTTGGGTAGACAACTACGTACTACCTAAATGTTTATCATTTTTGCACGTTAGGACCCCTGCTAGGACAGATGAAATGTCACATTTCTATGTCAAAGGTGACCTGAAATAAAATGCTCCAGCTCTCCTGAGTAGAAGCAAAGTGTCCTGGATCTTGCCTCAAATTCTACATTACTGCAGTTTAGGAATTGGTTAAACTAGAGGTTTTGACCTGTGCTTCAGAGCCAAGGAGTTGTCAAATGGGTGAAGAGCAGGGTGGAGCTTTGGGGCCGGACCCCTCTTCCCATCTGAGCAGCAGGATTTCCATTCTTAACTGTAGTGAGTATCACGACTCGCTCCACAAAACAAAGTGAGTCTAACTAATGCACCGCAGAAACCACCAGAAAATGGAAATTGAGGCAGTTGGGCCTTCTGGATGAAATTTTATTGAATCCTATCAGTTAAAAACAAAACCTCTATTGTTCTGTTGCTGTCATTTGCAGTGAATTCTGCTGTCTGAGATACGTGTTACTCTCCTTCTTTTTATTCCCCATAATTTCTGGGCGTTTCCAGCAGTCTGTCCTCCCAGTCTGACTTCTAGTTATCAGGCCGTCTCCAGCACAGCCATCTTCAGATTCTCTTTCTGCCAAGACATGTGTGCGCCAGTGGGGGACAGATTAGCACCTCAGAGATCATCACCTGTGTCCCTACTGAGAGCAGAAGTCCTTCCTGTGTGGCCACTAAGCAGACACCCTGGTAACTCACACCCATTTGCCCTTTTCTCACCTTTTATGAGTTAAAATAATTGCCAAGTGCCAATTTCTACCTCTCTAGAGCCTAATGTCGCCAGAGAGTAAATGTGATGCATTCCGAAAGTATGTGAAGCTTAACATGATGGTAAGGCTCAGGCAAGAATCTTCTCGGTCTTCGATCAGCTTGGTATTGATCAAACTTCACATACTCTTCTTGGTGATTACAAAGCTCCCAGGAGCACTGAAGACTGTTACAAAAAGGGACCGGGGGTGTCTCGACCAAGGCAGGGGACATCGCTCTGGCTAAGTATCTGCAGTAGTTGGAATAATCTGAAGACCCCATGTGGCTAAGGAGATTAAGTGGAGAATTTGCATTGTTTCAGAGGGGCAAGGGGCAAGTCCGTTGCTAATTCTTTAATGATGAAAATTTGTAAAGAGTTGTTAAAGTTCTTTGGGGACTTGTAAAAGACAGAACTACATGACACAGTGTTACAATCTTAAGTAACTAAAGGGTATGATGAAAAAGTTAGAAGAACCCAGGAAATTTAGTAGACACCTGGACAGCAAAAAACTAGATAGACAGAGAGGAATGAGAGGATTTGAACATAAAAAGATGCTCAGTAAATTACTTTGCTGTTGCATCTGAAATTCAGAGTATTTCCTTTTGGCTAAACAAGAAAGAGTTTCAATAAAATCCTCTGTATATATTCTGAGAGGTAAATATTTTATAGGAAAATGGAGGGTTGTACGAAAATCTGTTCCATCATGTCTGGGTTTAGAATTCTGCTTAATAACTTGCCAAGACATTCTGCTTCCAAGAGCTATGGCATTATGTCTGTGCCCAATTAAAGCAATTTTTCTTTGCTTTGTCTCCCAACTTAAATTCAAGTGACATAAACCACCACTGAAAGGGGGGAATAAAATGTCTCACTGCAAGATTCAATGGGTCACAACTGGTGTATTAGTCTTGAAATTTTTTAACTGAGCTCTTGCTTTGAACCAACTTAAATATTTATTGAGTCCCGGCTTTTCTCAGGACACTATAGTATGTACCATGGTACTTACGAAGGATCTTATTGGTTGACAAAAGTTAAGGTGAAATCTACGTAAAAGTAAACTCAAAGACTGTAGTAATCACTAGCAGAATCCAAGAAAGGGAGAAAGACTCTGTGTGTACATTTAAACTTGTGTATTTATACACACAAGTACAGACACACATATGTAAAATTAAAACAAAATGTAGATCGGCATGTGTAGTCTTGCAGATTAATGAATAAATCTCAGCCCTAAAGTAATGATTACCTAAGTACCACGTTTGGAGGTATTCAGTATTTCCAGTAAGAGGTATGACTGAAAAAGTCAATGAATGTTTAAATTTTTAAAAATTTTACTACTGTGAAAGACACTGTCACAGGAATCCCCCTCAAAAACCAGCTCCCGCAACACAACTGTGTCCCTCCTCACTTACTCACCAGGGCTGGCACACTCTGACTTCGGGCTCTTTCCCAAAATGAAAATGATCATAAAAGGGCAACATTTTCGATTGATCAGGCAGCCATGACAGTACAACTAAAAACACAAAAATGGACTCCAGAAAAATCTCATAATAGCTAAGTCTTGGATGCATGAACATATGAACGGATAAAGAAAGTGTGGTATTCATACATAATGGAGTACTACTCTGCCATAAAGAAGGATAAAATCAAGTCACCTGTAGGAAATGGAGGCACCCTGAGAACATAATGTTGCATGAAATAAATCAGATGCAGACTTAAACTGCAGCTTTTCTTATATGAGAAACCCAAAGTATAAACAAATAAAAAAGCCAAATAAAAGATAAGAAAGGGAGACAGAGCTTTTGCAAAAGGGAAGGAGACCGAGAGATGGAGGGAGAGGGGAGAGAGAAAAGAGATGAGAAGAAAAAAAGAATGAAAGGCACATGCACTGACTCCCTGTGAAGAATGTAACCAGTTTCCACACACCCGGACTGACAAAAATAAAAACCAAAGAAAGTGGCAAGCACTCGGGTGAGCGCGTTGGAAGCCAGGAGAGATGCACAAGATTGTCTTTGCCTGTGAGTGACCTTTAGGTTATCGCCCTGCAGTCGCGCAGCTCTGCAGGCTCCGGGGCTGCACAGCTGGGCAGCTGCTGCAGGGAGCTCCGCCTGTGAGCCCCAGCGTGGACAGGCGTGGGGCTACAGTCCTGCGTGTGCAGCTCACACCCCTCCACACCCAGCACCCATGCCACGCCCATGCCACGCCCATGCCACGCCCCACCACCCAAGCCACACTCCCCGCCCCAACAACCACACCACGCCCACCGCCACGCCCACGCCCCTCCCCTCGGCCA